CCTTGCTGCATGTGAACCTGTATTTAATGTAATCTGGGATATATATATATATATATATATATATATATATATTACCTTGTGTAGTTTTGTTCATTATTTTTCAAGCTTCAAGAATGAAAACTTGTCACTCAACCATCTATCTTCTTAATTTTTCTAGTAAAACAGTTACATTTTCTCCAAAATACTGGTTGAGAAGCCTGTTTATGTTGCTGTTTTAATTATTCACAATAATGTTGTTTTATTATTTGAGTAGTTTTTTTCCCCTACAAACTATGACCCTATAGAAAAGACAAGTGGCCAAATTTTTGGGTTGTGACCCACCAATTGAGAACCACTGGTTTAAGTTATGTACGTCTTCATTACTTTGTGACAACAACTTGCTTTTATGTAGACTTTTTTCAGCACACAGTGTAAACACATGTGTAACATGTGTAAAAACATATGTGGACTGGGAAGAATTTGACAAGTTTTTTCAAACCTAGTTATATACAAAGGCCACAATGTTTGTTCTCAGCTCAATTAAAAACACCTATGTGTATTATATTATTGGACAATACCCAGTGCATGTATTTGGCAAAACTTTTCTTCTACCCTGAAAATGTTAGGGTTTTTGATGACAACTCTATGGAAATAGATTGAACTGTTTAGCAGTTGTGACATGTATAAATTTGTTACAGTGCCTAAACAAATGCTGCTTTGTGGTGAAAGTGTCCTATGTTTATCTTTAACACAGCTTATCTTATCTGCATTTTTACAATGTGCAGGGAAGTGTAGTTTGGTTAATTATGCTTACTAGACTGTAACTCATCTATCAGTATGCCTTTACAGTGCCTAAACAAATGCTGCTTTGTGATGAAAGTGTCCTATGTTTATCTTTAACAGCTTATCTTATCTGCATTTTTACAATGTGCAGGGAAGTGTAGTTTGGTTAATTATGCTTACTAGACTGTAACTCATCTATCAGTATGCCTTAAATACGATTCTTTCAGACCTTGACAGCTTGACAATGAAATATGAACTTTTTCCCTTTGTTTCCCCTGATACGCTTTAAAGAAGACAGCTGCAAACGGCACAAAACTAGCATGATTGCTTCCTGTGAAGTTTCTCTGTGTTGTTGTACGTTTATAGGTCACATAATTACTCGCTCGACAACACAAGCTCTATTTTTCGGTTCTCTGTAGTATTCTTTCAATTAGATCTGTTTTGCCTTGTCCCTGAGTGGCCATGACAGTCCTTTCAAACTTTATCGACTCTCTTTCTGCTGGCATTCTTCAGCAGTTCCCTTCTCTTCAGCTCCTGTCTGCATGTGTTCTTGAAGCCATTAATCGTTCCTGCCTGCACAATGTGAACCCCAGCAGATAATAACCGTAATTAAACCAATTAGGCAGCATATGGAACGAGAGTTAACATGCCCCGAGGACACTGAGGTCTGCTATTCATCCCCTGCATGAGCCTCTGCTGAGGTGGTCCCCGTATCTGGCACTGCTTAAGGAAGGGGCCGGGGAAATTGCTTCAACCCAATTTTGGATTAAAGCAATTTCCTTTTTAGCTGAGCTTTGAATACGGTGTTGCAGATGTATGCTGCTGGCCTGCTGCAAGAGGGGACTTCAAACAAAGGACAACTTAAAGACAACTGAGAAGAAGATAATATGAAACAGTGCCATAATTCTGTGTTGTGAACTGAATTGTTTTTATTTGTCACCTCTTAGTCATATAAAGTGATTTTTAGCAAGAGATATAAAATAGCAACATAATTCTGTTGTAAAACGGAATGTTTCCTCAGTCATATAAACTGTTTTCAGCAGCATTTTTTGTTTATGCTTCACGCTCTGATAAATGTTTAATTTATTAGGCTATATTACTCAAAGTGTTCATTTGCTTATTATAGAGAGACATTATTACGTGGCTTTCTGTAATACTTGATTCTGATTGGCCAAACAGACTTTGATTGGTCGTGCAGCATTCCAAAATGTCATAGTTTGCCTGCATCCCAATGTGCATACTATCCATCCTAAATTCTATGTTAGTAATTTTCAAAACTATTTAGGGCAGATAGGGTGGGTAGTATGCACATTGGGACGCAGGGTTTGTGTCTTTTTAGCAGGTTACATCGTTACACCAGTAGGTGGCAGTAAACTGATTCATTCAAAAACACGGATTTATTAAGGAATGAAACAAGTGAGTATGAGTGAATCATTTGCCTTGTCCAAATACCCACACTTGTGGTCTTTGCACTTGAATCATTTTTAACCGCTTCGTTCAAAACACAAATTCATTCAGTGGAAAATCAGCAAATCATTGAATCACCTACTCAACCGATTCTTTCAAAACATTGATTCATTCAAGAACCACACACCACCACAGTGTCCCTGCGTCTCAATGTTCATACTATCTATCCTAAATAGTATGTGAGATTAGAATAAGTGTGTCCCAAAGCATAGTATGTTGAAAGAGTATGCCAAAAGTCCCCGGACGGTCTACTATTTCAGGTCGATTTTTGAAGTGTGGATCCATGCACCCTCTGGCTAAAATTGCCCACAATCCATTGCGCTTTGGCGAAG